CTCACTCGACCTGCGGCGGCCCCTAGGCGCACGGCGGGTCCCTGGCGGCCGGAGCGACCCCCGCGCCGACGCCCGGCCGTCGGGCCGCCCGGGGAGCCCCGCGCACCAGCCGGCACCAGGCTGCCCAGATGCGGGCGCCACTCTGCCTGCTGCTGCTGGTCGCCCACGCGGTGGACATGCTCGCCCTGAACCGAAGGAAGAAGCAAGGTAGGGCACGCCGGGCAGGGTGGCCGGGCCGGCACTGCGGGCGACCTGGCGTGGCCCTTGCGGCATCTGCCTGGTGCCCGGTGCCTGGGCTATTGGCTCAGGGGCAGCCCCACTTTACAGATGGGGAGACTGAGCCTCCAGGGCACTAAAAGGGAACCGTTGAGTAAGCCAGACCATGGAGGCTCTTTATGCAGGCAAGTGGCTAGCAGGGTGCTCTCACTGTCCCTAGCCCAGAGAGGGACTCTATGCAGACACAAGAAGCCTCCAGAGTCAGCCATGGCGCGGGGTGGGGGGGGGGAATGGACTAGGAGACAGAGTTAGTGGCTTCGAAGCCAACATCCATGCTGACCAAGAGCCCTGGTCTGGGAGTCCACAAGCCCCAGCCAAGTCACTGCCTCTGACTTATGGTGTCATCTCCCAGAAGACAGGGATCCTGGGTGGGCCCCCCTCTGATGAGCTCAGCCAGACCTGAGACCTGATCAAGTTCACTTATTCTGTGGATAACCTGGAAGAAGTTCATCCCCTCCCGGAGCCTCAACTTTTTCCATCCGGACCTCCTACAGCTACTAGGAGAATGAACCAAGGTTCAGGTTGTAATTATACAGAGAGTCCCCTCCACCCCAGAGCCTATGCTACCATCCCTCACACTCACACAGGAGGTGGATCTGAGGCCGCCTTTGCAGAGCCACACTTGGCAGAGCTGATGCGGCCAAACAGGGTGAATAGACCAGAAAGTCCCATGCCTGAGTCGGTGCCAGTCTGCAAATCAACAGCCAGATACCAGCCAGTGCACGAATCCTCACTCCATCCATGGGACCCTGGGGTCATGCATTCTACAAAGCAGGGACCCACTATGGGGCTGGTTAGGTAGCTGAGTTGCCCAGCAGGTGTGTGGAAGAGTCCTGCTTTCTGTCTTTTCAGCTTTGGGGTTGGTTCTGAGAGAGAGAGAGAATATGAATATTTTTCGGTATGTGCGTGATGAGCCCTGCATAGACACCATCGCTCTTGGGATGGAGCAGGAAACAGAGAGGGGCTGTGGGAGACCTGTGAGGTGAGATGGGGTGGGGGTCCGACCCCAAAGGAATGCAGAGGCAGTCTGCACTTGGGAGCTTTTTCTGTGAATGGCCTTTGTTCAGGGGATCAGAGCACAGGTTCTGGAATCAGCCAACCTGAATTCAAAAACCTGCGTGACCATGGAGAGGTTACAATTCCTGGTTTACCCATCTGAGGGTCCTTTCAAAGGTCTCTAAGATTCTTCTCAGCTCTAAAAAAAGATCTTAAAAAACTTTCTCTTCGTAAATGATAGTCCTAAGTATTTATCCCATCAGGAAGATTCCACTGTTAGTGTCTGTTACAGTGCGCAGGCTCCTGACCAAGCTTGTCACAATTAATCATTCATGGTTTTTGTCCACTGTGTCCTTTCCTCTGCTTATGAGAATCTAGCAGAGGGAGGGGGAAGCGCTTAAACTCTGGGTGAGGAAACTGAGATTCAGAGAGGGAAATTGACTTGTCCAAGGTTGCATAGCGGGTCGTACCAAAGCAGGCTGGAATCCTGATCTGCCAACATGACGCTGAGATGTGTCCTAAACTGTAGGAGCCTTTCCTCCTCAGGGCCTCAGTTCCCCCATCTGGAGAGTAGGTAGGTAAGATCCTTAAGATACTTCTCAGTTTTAAAAAGATGGAGGAGAAAGAAAAGTGAAAATTGCCTGTTCCTTCCTGGCTCACCACCACAGGAGCTAAGTGACAGGGGAGGCTGGTCCTTACACTGGCCTGATTTGGTGGTGGCTCTTGGCACCTCCCCCACTCACACAATACTGATCACATGCCTCTGGGACACACACCTGCCTAACATCTTCAGAGGCAGGCTGTGGCTCCATTTATAAGTCTGATTAGCCTTGGAGTTTAGTCCCACTCCTGAGCCATTAGTGCCAGATCACCTTGAGTGGACTGCCCCAGCTCACAGCCTTGGTTTCCCCATTGGCACTGAGGTGGATGTGGAGGCTGGACAGGCCCTGCCTACAGTCTTTTCTGCAAGGCAGCTCTAGTTGTTCTGGACAAATCAGTTTGGAGAATGTTGGGTTTAGCAGAGTTCTTGACTGGGACTTAACGAAGAAGTGGCATGGAAGGCAACCTTACTCAAACTTAATGCACAGTAGCAACCATTCTTATTAGGCACCCTCTTGGAAAATTCTGTACCCAGTCCCTGAGGCTTCGCCCGGCTTTGACCTTCTCGTCTAACTTTGCCCAGAATGTGTCTGGAAGACCTGGGTGTTAGCCGTGCTGCATTCATTCATTCACTTATTCATTCAGCAAGTGTCACATGCTCTTTAGGGAGCCTTGGCATGCTGAGGGCCTTCCCTGGAGGGGCTGCCAACAAGGAGAGAAAACCCATTGCTAGCCCCCAGCCTTCTCCCTCCTGCTTGGCCTCAGCCTGTGGCCTGGTCTCCTGGGTCAGGAGGAGGGACCTTTGGGCCCCGCAGCTGCCTAGTCTGCCGCCACCCTCGGGGCCTGGCTCCCACAAACCTGGGCTTCCCCGGGCTCTGGCGTCACTGTTTTTTGATGAAATCCAATTTTTCTAAGACAAGAAAGAATGAAAGAAAAGACTTAGTAGTTCTTGGATCTCAAGTGTCTCTTACAAAACATTTTGATTAATTAAGCATAAATGAATAAGAACCAGATGGGGACTTCTCTCTTGAAATATGCTGGGGTGTCTGGCAGTGGGACAATGAGGCAAAGTGAGGGGCTCTGCACCCCCACCCACAAATCAGAGTGGGTCTGATGGTCCCCCCCATCCTCGGCCTGCTATGGAGGGGATCCCACATTCACAGGCTCTGCAGAGCTGAGGTAGCAAGGGACAGAAGCAAGTAGCCCGGGTTCGGACCCTGAGCCCTCTCCTGCCCTAGGTATGTGACCTTGGGCAGGCCCCAAGCTTCTCCAACCCACGGTTTCTCATCTGTTCAAGGGGACCCATGGGACCTGCCACTCTGTGCAGCCAGAAAGACCACAGTCCCAGAGGGAAGGTGCCAAAGACACAAGGCAGGGGCTTCATACGGATTCGGGTACTTCCCATCTCAGGGCAGTGAGGACTGGACTGCAAGGAGTCTGCATGGGTAGAATGTTACTTTTGCCTCTTGCTGTCCCCTCTCAGAGCCTCTCTTTCCCTATCGCGAAATGACTGTGGCAGCACCAGCTCAGGACACCTGTTAGGCAGGGTACAGGGATTCTTGTGTCAAGTGCAAAGCCAGAGGAAGTACTGTCCTGGGACACAGACAGAGGTGAGAAGCTAGCACCTGGACAGACAGATGGCAGAAAGCAGGGCTGCAGGCAGATGAGGACCTGGGTTTCCTGTCCTCAGATCAGGGCCATGGCTGGGCACAGAACAAGAGGTGTCCCTGAATGCTGGTGTCGGGTGGAGTGACGTTGGGATGCACAACAGGGCAGTTCTGAAAGGGAAAATAGGTTCTCACAGGGCAGAGGGAGGTGTTCCCCGGGCAGAGGGAACACCTGGAATGGTTGTGTGTCTTGTAGAATGTCACCTTGGGCAAGTCATCGTGTTCCTCTGGGCCTGAATTTCTTCACAGAATAGGGATCGGTGGAGCACTGGAGAGGAGAATACTCAGCCCAGGGTAAGAGGCCATTCTGAAGTCACATCAGAGTGCACAATGGCTTCCACCTCACACTGCTCCCTCCCGTGGGGAGCCCACCGCCTTCTCCCATGGATGGAAGCCTTTCAGCCCTGGTGTCCGGGGTCCGGTCACAGGGATCTTTAAGGCTGCTGAGATGTGGCTGGCCATGAGCTGGGAACACTGCATGGGAAGGGGGAGGTGATGCCTCACTCTGCTACTGCTTTGTGTCATATCCATTTCCCACACAAAGGAACTGAGGCTTAGAAAGGAGTAGCAGTCTGCCCAGGAGCTCACAGCAGCTGAGCCAGGATGTGGACCCAGTTTTAGAGACTCCACAGCTGTGCCTAGACCCAGAAATGAATCCTTCCAGTGAGCAGCAGGTGGTGATACCTGGGAGGAGCCCCACGAGGTGGGACTAGGATGGCATCAGGCAGAGGTGGCGGCAGGATGGAGACTCCTGGAGGAGGAGGGGAGAGTCGGGCCATGTGGGAAAGACCTGAGGGAGACCGTGGCAGGAAGATGTGGAAGTTCTGTTGCAGACAGGACCAGAGTCCAGTCATGGAGGGCCTCGGCTGTTACTCACCTGCCACCATCATCATGAAGAAATATTTGTCAAGTCCCTCCTCTGGCCAGGTCCCCAGCTAGGTGGCAAAGAGGACAGGAGATGGATGTTCCAGCATCACTACTGCCAGGGCCCCGTGTTCATCTGCCATCCATGGGGCCACCCCGAAGAACCCTGCAGCTCCCCAGCCTGATAGTGATAGGCAGTCCTAGTTTCAGCTGGGGAATCTGAGACTTGAAGAGGGAATATTTCTTGGCTAAAGTGTACCACACACACACAAAAATTTATTCACCCATCCTCGCATCTTGTGATGGGAAAAAAAAAAAACAACACCTGACATTCACAGAAATTCTTTCTAAGATTTCAACCCATCAACAGGTTGAGGCAATGAATTTAGTAAGTTATAGCCAGCATTTCTGAAAGAGATGGAATGGGAGGGAACAGAAGAGAATAAAGTGGAGTGGGGTTGGCAAACTTTTTTGTAATGGACTGAGAAATATTCTAGGCTTCGTGGATCACATAGGATTTGTCGCTTGCTCTATTAGTCTTAGCTCACAGATGTACAAAACAGATGGATTTGGTCCATAGGCTGACTTGTCAACCTCCAATTTAGAAAATATCCCCATGCATTGCAAATGTTAAGGCTGATGGTTGTTGTGAGAAGTGTGTTTCCATTTGCACATGTACGTAGCTATGTGTGCTCGTGGGTGGTGTAGCAAATACGGGCAAGCGTAGATGTGTGTGCACATATGCATGGATATGCGTGAGTGTGTGCAGATGGTGAGAGTGGTGTGCATACTTGTGTGTGTGCT